AATTATGCAGATCCCCATTCTAGGAATGGAAAAAAAAAAAAGAAAATGGAAATCATAGTTATATTAACTATAGTTATATTAACATTTGTGTGACAAAGTGAGGAGGTTAGTTCTGAGGAAAGGAATAGTAAGAGGAAGACACAACATACAAAATTTTAGTAAATAAATCCCAAGCAAAATAAAATGAAAAAAAAAAAAAAAAAAGGAATTCATTACAAGATTCTCATACTGAGAACTCAAAGCAGTGCAGAGAAGAGAGAAATTTATATTATGTTTATACATACAACAAGGGCTGTAAATTAGACGTCTGCATGGTATTAACCAACATGGGTTAATATACTATTATCTGAATTCAATAACCTTTGGCTTTACTGATCACCAGTTTTTCCCCTCATACACATTTACCAAATTAGCAATGCTTTATTTCAATTTATTCACTGTAATACCAGTAGGAAAGTAAGGACAACCCTAGAGAAAGGAAAATATTTAACCACTAGTAACAGATACAAAATAGCAAGTTGCCTCTCTTAAACACTCATATTCAAGACAACTGAGAGAGTATTCATTTCCCCCACCCACCTTAAAGGAAAAAGATATTTCTGAAGAGGTAGTTAAAAGATTAGCAAATTCTAGGCTCATTAATGTTCTTGCTTGTACAAAGTACAAGTACATAATGATTTAAAAAAAAGAAAGTCTTACCACAGCTTTGGCTGAACTTTCCTGCAAATCCCACAATAATATGTTATTATCAGCCAGCGAAATAATCTTTCTGCCATCTCCCATTGGTTCCCACATAACACTGTAAAACAGAAAACAAAAAAAACATTAAACTAACATTAAAACCAACCAGTATTTGCACTAGAAAGCCACTTTAACTGTGGACCTAATATATTCCAAAACTTACTAAACCATATTCCTTATGGTTTCCTTCAGCTGAAATCTACTCCATATTTGAAGTGCAAAAATCTGCCATTTTAACTAGCAATCCAGCAATTTTTACACGTACTAGATGAACATTATTATTGCAACCTTTCAGTACTTAAAGGTGGCTTAGAAGATAGATGGGGACAGACTTTTTAGCAGGGTCTCTTGCAATCTAGACGAGGGGTAATAGTCTTACCTTAAAAGAAGGCAGATTTTGACTAAATCATAGCAAGGTATTTTTCACCATAAGGATGGTCAAACACTGGCACAGGTTGTCCAGAGAGGTGGTAGATACCCCACTCCTGGAAACAATCAAGGTCAGGTTGGACGGGGCTCTGAGCAACCTGATCCAGTTGAAGATGTCCCTGCTCATTGCGGGGGGGTTGGACTAGATGACCTTAAATGGTCCCTGTCAACCCAAAGATTCTATGATTATTGCAGCATCAGTTACTTAGAAGCTATGTGATACTAAACCTAGGCTTGCTTATGGAATCTTTTAGTCAGTGCTAAACATACACATCCTTTTCTTTTTCTTTTGAGTGCCCTTTGACATCCCATCCAAATCTGTCAGAAAAAAAGAACGCCATCCAACTTCCCTAAATGCTAGTGTAACTGTAAAAAGAGAGCTGCTCAAAATCCTTACTCTGTTTGCCATCCATTCTACATATTGAGCCATACAGTAATCAGGCAAAACAGCGATTATGTTATTGTAATAGTCATTCTGCATATGTACACAGAAAAAAAAAAAAAGAGACCTTGATGTACGCTTACTTTTGAGTGCTTTAGCTTAAAACCTCAAAGTTCATCAAATGTGATGTTGGATTGTTCATCCTTTCTGAGTACGCACCAAAAATCATAAGCCTCAGAGATTTGTTGCCAACCTAATCCAGTTCAGCAGCTGTCATCATGACTCAGTCAACATACACTTTTTACCTGTGATTTACCAGTTTTGTGCTATACATGAAGGAATGCAAAAAGTCAGTCCTCGGCTCTAGTTCTGCCTATGACAAACAGCATATTCAATCCACCAGTACAGGCAGCACAGCTAAGTATATGCACTGTAACCCGAATAAATTTCCTGGAGAGAACAGTAATGTTAAAAGAATATTTGTCATCTAATGAGAATAGGCTTCCATACTTTACACTTTTTAAAAAGTTGCACAACCTGTGAATCATCTTAGAGTGACACAATATAGCTGAAGGCACAGATCACAACTTTACTATCAATAGCCACATGAAGAAACCTCCTCCAATCTCTAGACAAAAACTTGAGTATTTCTAAGGCATTTGATATGCTGTTCTCATCTTCAGTGCATATATGAAGAACTCTCTCTTGAGGTTTGTCAAGATTCCATCACTAGACAGAATTTTTCTAGTCCATTTAGCTTTCTGCATGAATCAATTCAGTATCTGCACTGAAGAGATGAAAGAAGGTTGCATGAGTAGATGCAGCCTTGGGCAAATGAGCCCAACATTAAGTAGCCACCACCTACCTTCATAACTTAGTACTGCACACTATACATGCTCCAATTTTATCTCAAACTTTGCATTACTCTGACCTTCCTAAGACAGTGGGTATGGTATGACCTGGCTGGCCCCAGGGACTTGATCTATCTTATGCCACAAGAGATGGGGAAAAGAAAATAGGAAGTTGTAGGCAACAGAAAGAAGTGACATTGTCATTTTTTCCACACCACAAGTGAAACACCTTAGTTATTCCCAGCTGATACCTTCCGCTCAAAATCCTCTTGCTTCTTCCATGAACAGTTTCATTGCTTTTTCTCTGCACTTTTAGTCAAACAAGTACTAGATATACAGGTGAATGACTGCACCTGTTTGCCATTATAGAGAAGCCAGACTATGCAGAGAAAATAGAACTCGGTCAAAAAGGAAAATTAACATAGAGCAGATGAAAAAGATGGAACTATAACTAAAGGCATGTTGTCTGACTCCTCACCCACTGAACTTTTCCCAAAGGCAGCAGAGCAGATCAAAGAAAGTACTAGCTTCTGCATCTATCTTCTGCTGGAATCATGACTCAGTCAACATACACTTTTTACCTGTGATTTACCAGTTTTGTGCTATACATGAAGGAATGCAAAAAGTCAGTCCTCGGCTCTAGTTCTGCCTATGACAAACAGCATATTCAATCCACCAGTACAGGCAGCACAGCTAATGGATTATGCTGGAATCATAACCTGCATCCTTATTATGTTGTCAATCCATAGAAATTAACTACTTCTAAAAGTTAATTTGTAATGAGCTCTCTTATGTTAGGACAAAATCACTTCATTTATCAGATTAAGCTACTATCATATTTTTAAATGTGTTGTAACAAGGATGTGGAACTAGAATGATTCTATGATTTGCTTTAACTTGGGCTCTTTTGTCTGTAGTATTGCCAATCTTATTTTCAAAAGTGCTTCATGTTAAAGTTGTATAGCACAACTTGGAAAAACTTATAAGCAACTGAAAATGAGTGTTTATAATAAAAATGATGAAGCAGTTTCAGTTCCAGAAGCCACCATCATTTTACCCATATTAATGAGAAGTAACCAACTGGCATTGGCCAGATAGTCCTGCTGCACAGATATATCAATTAGATCATCTTCAATGAGATGAAAACATTTTATGAACACATATAACAGGATAAAAAAATTAATGTACTATAACCTACATGTGATCACAGCTAACCTTCCACAATCTAGTTTTCCAAAGTGAAATAAAGACATCAGGATCATCACACTACTGAACGGGTAACTAAGAAATCTTCAAGTTGATTCTGATGACATTTATTAATTTTAAGTCCATTATTTTTTTTCTTACTTATTGCTGAAAGTATAACTGGTATTTGGTGTTGATATATGTACATATATTTTTAATTATAGACAATGAAACCTGGTTTGACCAATTAACTCTTTAGAAGTTCTTCCAGCCAGAGATCAATATTCATTATGCCTGTTGATGTATCTTCCCCTTTCCTGCACTGATCACTGAACCTTCAGTTGTAAAAGCTTGATTGGAAGCACTTTCTTTGATGCTTTCTAAGGTAGGAAGAAATTTCATCCCCTTGAGTGTCACTGAGCTTCAAGGTAAAGAATTTTTATAGCTGAATACAGTGTGCTAATTAGAGCCAATTATAACCCAGCTGACATACCTTGGAATGAAAAGGTAGGTCTCTCTATATTCACTCTGTCCTTGTGAGATGCCCATTTTGCTTCTATTCAAATTATCTTTTATGAAAATTTATTGTTGTATGGGTGTGGTTGTAGTGATCATTCATAACCTAAGCAGAAGTTACTCAAATCACTCTTTGGTACATGTTCAGCTGCATTCTGTAGACATGACTGAATGTTAAACATATGAAATATCATGTAGAAGGGAGGGGGAAAAAATACTGGTGAGTGAAGAAAAAAAAAAACCAAAACAAACCCTGGCTTTCGAAGCAGGATATGCATTTTACAAAAACTGAAGTTCTCATTTGGAACATTATCAGACACAGCAGAGGTGGTGATAATCTTGAAAAAGGAAAACAGATGAACCAGGCAATACCATTTTCCTGAGTGTGCCAACAGTTGCTGATGCTTACAATTTTCGTAAATGGACAAGATAATTGTCAAATTCACAGCTGCCACTCAGAAACTGAGTGTCAACTTCAGGGCTGCTCTTTAGATAATCTATAAACAGCAGACAAGCAATTATATTTGTTGCCTTTTACCCTATTTTGTTATCATCTGACTCCTGATGCTTCAAATTAGCTTCTAGCTAGTAGGTTTTGGTAAAAAAAATTAAACCTTACAGAGAACATCTTCCTAGTAAAGGAAAAAGAGAATTTAAAATAGACACTCAAATGCACACATAAAAGGGCTCTATTATCTATGTTTTATGCTGAAGATAGTTAACACCATCATTTATTAACATACTGAGCTTTTACAAATGAACAATTCAAAGTTCTCCATTATAGACTAAAGAAGAATAAAGCAAAATGCAAATGCTTTCATAGATGTGAACTGCAGTCAGCCCAATGAGTTGGACAAAGCAAGCATTAACTACTGCTTAACCATAATTATAGAAGCGACAACCATTTATTTCTGTAAGTGGAAAAATTTTGCTAGACTGAAAATGCTCATGCACTGCAAAATGGAAAATACACCCAAACATTCAGTAACTCAGCAGAACATCCTGCAGCCTCAATGTAGCCCATCAGAAAAATTCATGTGTTAAGGACTCAAATATCCTTGCTTCTTTGCAGTACAATGATTCAAATTTACAGGTGACTCCTAATCAGGTGATTAGGACATTTTTCTAAGAGGAAGGAGATCAGACTGAGGACAACCTGGAACCCACACTTCTTACTCCTTACCCAATGCTCTACAGAGTGGCCACATTTGTGAATGAAAACAGAGCTGGCTATTTTATAGTGTATTGTCCATGCTGTTGGAAGCACATGTAAGTTATGCTTTGTCTCAAAATTCTCAGACACTGTGATATATTTGGTGTCCAACTCCTCAAGACCAAAAAAAATATCAAGAACCAAACCTTCCTAAAATACCTGAAAGACAAGGTAAAATTATTTTAGGTGGGTTTTTTTTTGGCTAAAAGGCTGCTGAGAAGAATGAGCAATGAACTTAAAAGATTATTTTGGACAAGAACTCCAAAGACACCTGGGCTTTACTCTGGCTCTTAAATTATTTTTACATTCAGAAAAATAAAACTGCTGTGCAAATGAATACAAGAGTATCCCAACAAGTAGGTGACACAGAAAAAGCACTTGCCTCTAAAATCTTTTTATTTTTTTTCCTAAGTTGTCATACTGCAATGTTGGCAACCCCATAAAGTCTTCTTCAAAAAAATCATACAGCAGAATGCAAAATA